TGTGAAGCCTTATTTTTCAAATTATATTACTAACCTTCAATTCAGAGAAGAAATAGTGGATGTTGCTAAATAAGTTTGTTACATATATTTAAATCCTTTTCTCAGTGTATTATCCGAATTTATACGAATCTTGGTAATTTTTACCAGTGTAACAACCGGCAAGAACGTCAACTGTCACCGAGTGTCACTTTAAATTTTGGCCACCCCGACATTAAACGTGCCAGAGTTGGGTAGTATCCGGATACTTCTGTATCCGGATACTTTATGTGTATCCGAAAGCTGTATCCGGATACTTTTCAAATTTTGTATCCGGTATCCGTATCCGTGACCAAATTTGTAAGTATCCGGATACCGGATACTTTTTTCGGCATTCGGATACTTTTAAATTATTTACCACAATCGTAACTGATCCAATCCATATTATCTCTATTAAAATTATAATCGAAATACTTTGAGCTACCATGTATAATTAGAAATAAAATACGTATTTTTCAATATTACAATGTTTAAGACACAATTGCATAGGTACCTACTAAAATAAAAAATAGTAAAATAATTATTTTATTATGATTTGTAGTTTTGTTTGGTGCACCCTCTAAAATTTAAAATAACGCAAAAAAAATTCTCTATCGCCAAGGATGATTTTGACGATTCACCCAGTATACAGGCGGTCGTGATTCAGCATCTTGCGGCACGTTTTTACAGGAAAAATCCAACAAACTCTTGTCCGGTGTTAGTGTTACGAACTTGTGGAGGTTCCATTAGCCCAGTTATGTTTCAGTTGGCAAAGACAAGAGACGGTTGTACCTATGTTTTTATGTAGTGCAATATAACTAAACTTTCTGTATCAGTTTTACTGCCTAACTATACGCAAAGGTAAGTAGGTGTAGGTACCTCGAATTTTTTGTTTTGTGAAATGTCTATTACATTATTAGTTCTTAAAATGTAGTTGAGAAAATACATGTATGACGTTGTTGCTTATAATGTTACTGATCATGTGTTATTTATGTCGTCATCAACATCAATAAAGTAGGTATACAGATCTGACAAGATCAAACTTCGTGCTTGCTTTGCCTATGCCAGAACGAAACATTCCGCAATCTCTCACTCCTCCTCCTTTCGACGCTCTCGACTCTACCAAGTACCCCTGGTCGGACGATCCACAAAAAATGGATTGTCGAATACATCTGACACTGACTAGAATATCGAAAGGTTGTATAAACATGGCAAGTCGCGCCAACAACGAGCTTATTTCGTTAGATTTATGTGGACACGATACACTGGCTGGTTTTTGGCGCGGTTCAGGCGCGACTCCTTTTATTTACACGCACCTTTAGGTTTTATTGTTAATTTTGTTTTAATGTTTTATATTCACAGAATAAAAATAATAGACAATTTATTGAGTATTTTTCCTGTTTTTATTATATCGCTTTCCATTTTCGATAATTTATTTATGTCTAGTATTGCTTATTGTTACTCGTAATCAATATTATTGCATAATTATAACTATTTATATGAAAACATTATTTTAACTCACTTTAAAAGTATCCGTAAAAGTATCCGAAAAAAGTATCCGGATACTTGTATCCGAGTACTTTTTAGATGAAAGTATCCTAAAAAGTATCCGGATACATTGTAAGTATCCGTATCCGGTACTCGGATACTTTTTTCCTGTATCCGACCCAACTCTGAAACGTAACGACGCAAGCCTTCGCTTCTGTAATAGTTATTCTGTGGTAAAAATGTAAACATTTTTGATAATACTCATTTTATGTATTCTATTTTTTTGTTTCGCTTCAAAGTTCTTGTGAAGAAGTTATTTCAAACTTCTGGTATGGAGTACACATTTAATGAATAAACTGATATGTTGCTAATGTAGTGAGAGATTTCGGGTATACCATGAAAGATTTCTAAATCGACAGATTCCGAATCACCAGACTTCTGCTTCTATCGAGAGGCGACTTCGAGAAACTGGTCAACTGAAACTGAACAGAAATAATGCTAGACGACCTCGTCAAGCCAGAACTCCTGCTGAAGACGAGGGAATACTTGAAATAGAAAAAAGTAATCCCGGAATTAGTACTCGACGACTGGCACGCCAAATTAGGGTTTCAAAAAGCACATCCAACAGAATAATTAGGGAACAACTTATCCCTTTCACATTCAAAGTGTCCAGGAACTCCTACCTCCTGATTATGAGTCTCGTTTGCATTTTGTACAAATCATTCAAGAGCGCAGAGCGGCCGATCCAGTTTTTCACAGAAACATTTTGATTACAGACGAGTCATACTTTACAGGACGTGGTATAACAAATTCACATAACGAACATTTACGCAGATAAAAATCCTCATGCCATTAAAGAGAAACATTTTCAACGAGAGTATAAAATTAATGTATGGCTGGGTATTATTGACACCTACTTAACTGGTCCATTTAGATTGCCAGATCGTCTCAACGGTGAGTTACTTGCATTTTCTACGTCAAGATTTGCCTCAACTGTCAAAAGTCTTACTGCTCAATTTACGCCGTGACATGTTTGTAATGATGCCCGATGGTGCACCACCTCGTTTTTCCCGCATTGTGAGAGATTATTTAACAGAACAATATCATGGAAGATGGATTGGCAGAGGTCGGGATGCTCCTATTCAGTGACCACCTCGATCCCCGGACTGTAATCTTTGTGATTATTTTATCTGGGGTCACTTGAAAACCAAAGTTTATGCAGTTCCTATCGACAACATTGAACAATTATAGGGTAGGATTCAAAATGGGTACTCTATGGAAAATGATCTAGGCATTTTGAGAAGGGTACACTTCAATTGAGAAGGAAACACTTCAATTTCTTGCGCCGAATTGAAATCTGAATGAAGGATGACCATATTGAACATTTATAATAAAAAAATTTATCCTTCTCTTTGAATTGTTATTTTTCAGTAGATACCTATGCCTATTGATTTTTTTTTATTGTAATAACGTTAAAATCGAAGGTTCGGGTTGCGGTAGTTATATTCGCCAACTTAGTTATCTTGAAAATTTTAAGTCACTAACCATTAGTCCATAAAACATTTTTTACTCAAATACCGTGATAGATACATATTTTTTGCAAGAGACAAAAACTGCTACAAATGAATACAACTCTCCACTGAAGGAACAGGGCCGGCCCTCAAAAAAATACGATGTCATTTATGGTAGGATTAGGGTGGTTTTTACGCTTCCATGATTTCAGTTGGTGTAATGTTTGCTTTGAACAATGGCTCTTTAATTAAAATAGCTATATACCAAATTTTATAAAAATCGAAAGAAGCATTTTTGAGTCATTAAAAAAAATTTAAATTTTCTTTCAACTTTGAAGCTTCCTCTCAGGCAAACGAAGCACTTTGTGATATGGGTAATTTTGGCTCGATCGACTTATTTTGATCTCACTAACCTACAGTAAATCTATGTACACGGAATTTTGGGACACCCTGTAATGTCACAGTAAATGCTGGGAATCAGTAAATCTTAACAATTCATAGGGAGAGTAAGCTATTTCTGATTTGCCTACTTTCAGACAGTAAAAGTTAAATATGTTTAATCTGAACACTTTTACTAGTAATTGTTAGCATTGACGGAGCTGGTAAAAGCAGGATAAACCTTGCATTTATAATGTAATGTCGTCAAATTGATTGTAATGACTTAAAAATCTAAGAAAATAAGAAATTAGATTAAACATAGAGCTATTTACTTTTTGGTAAAGATATTGTTTAAGTTTGGCCTTAGTGTTACTTCTGGCTCTTCGATTTTTTTGAGGTTATGTCATATATATGTTGTGGTTACTAGTTAATTGTCTCGATTTGCTTAATATTTTTAAAATAAATGGAGGCTGGATTTTGTGAAAAACTTAAATCAGAATGACTATCGCAAAAGTGTAATAGTTTTTGTTTTCCGTTAAAGAAATACAATTAATTAATCATAAAAGTGAAATGTGCAAAAAATTTACTAGCTGCAGTCAGTAAATGTTGTCCTTATTATCTTTTTCCAAGGAGTAAACTACTAAGGTCAAAACGTACCTGTATTTCGGAAACCACCTAAAATTCGTCTTATTTCGGCGATTTCGCCGAAATCCACCTTAATTTTGCACGATTTCGGTGATTTCGCCAAAATCGGATTTTTTTTTAATATTACGATTGGATAAAATTTTGCTTATTTAAAAACTTAAAATATCCCATATCAAAGTTGGCCACTGACGTTAGTTGTCTGTCAAATTCGCACTTTTTTAAAGGACGAGGAGACAACAATTCCATACCAATTTCTGTTAATAATATTTGTTGGTGGGGTAATTATTATGCAAAAGCAAATGGACTTTACTGGACGATTTTAAACGATGGTTCAAAAAACTTTTGAAAGATAACAAATGCCAGTAGCCAACTTGATATGGGCTGTTGTAAGTTTTTAAATAAGCAGACGTGATTGCCCTACGACTTTTTTTCCAATCGTAATATTAAAAAAAATCGCATATGAATGCAATTTTATGGCATACACTGGGGGGTTTATAGCATATGCGCATCTTGTCAATAGTTTACTGCACAACGAAACTTGTGCACGTCCGTTTTACAATAACACAATTATATTTAAAATATAAAGTAAATTGAATAATTTAAAAATCTCAATAAAAATGTGTTTAAGTTCAGATACAAAATTGTAGGCACTAAATTCTCAGAAATATTATTGCCTTAAAACGAAAACATTGTTGTTAGGTTGTTATTCAAGATATTTTAGCATTTTCTATTTTAATGATTCACATGCCTATAAATAGCTATATAATATGTTTAATTCATTAAAGTATCTTCCTGTTAAGAACATTAATGTTTATTGAAAGAATATAAAAAACTTAAATGATACTCTGCGTCTAAAACTTAAATGGGCAACGTTGCGTACATAGATATGTTTGTGAGGCGGAGAAGGGAACAACAATTCCTCCATAAAAATAACTATTATAAGTTCGAACATTTTTAACTTACAAGGTTTGTTTTGAATTATTGCTAAGTGTAATTCTGACTTTCAGGACTGTTGCAAATTCGCTCATACTATTTCTAACCATTACATCATCATCTTCTAGTAGAACCATAACAATATGTAAAACCATAGGAAGGTCATCACCTGTAAATTTAAAATTATAAGGATAAATTTGTTGAAGTTACTTTTTTAATACTTTGAACATAGGGAGATAAGTGAAACCTGGATCAACCCGTATTCAAAGACTTTTCTCGGAGAAGTATCAAGTATTTAGAAAAGATCGTGATCTTAACAAAACTGGCTTATCTACTGGTGGTGAAGTCTTATTGGCTTTTAAAAATAACATCACGTGTTTAAATTGATACATCTTTCTTTGATCAAAATTTTGTAAATATTGATTTAATCATTTGTAAATGTCTGCTTGGACATACCTCGTTTATGTCAATTTTGGTATTATGTTCCCCAGCTGTTTCATTAAATATGTTAAGAGTCATTTTTTGAACGTTTAGAAGGGCTTGAAATATTGCATAATGAAACAATTTTATTTATAGGTGATTCTAATATTGCTGAGTATGTCAACCATAATATTCATAATAGAGGATATAGTGTTATTAACAATTTCGCAAAGTTTTATGATTTACTACAATTTATTAACGTTAAAAACGAGACAGGTCGCTTGTTGGATCTTGTTTTTTCTAATATGGATTGTAATGTAACTCATAATGTACCTTTTATTGTCAGTGAGGATTCATCCTTCTTTTGCTGCGTTTGAATATCCACATCGGATGCATCTGAGATATTGTGAATTTTTTATCACATGATCGAGGATTAGATTTAAATGTAGATGTAATAAACAAACGCTCTAGACTTTATTGGTCACGTGATTAAATGACAATGACAAGTTAGAAGTTTATACTTTTTAAATTTGACTGTTGATACTAGAAATCAACCTAAATTTGAAATCTAAACAAAAATTAAACAAATTAATCACTTTTATATTCACACTAGCATAAACCGATAAACTTGGCTTCACAGAATACCTACTTTCTGGCATGGAACGAACATCTCATTTCAAATCGAGATGTACGTCTCGGATAAACAAACGCAGATGTAGTAGATGTGTCCGTTGTGGACACATACTTTGATTTTCTTTTACTATACGGAGAATGGTCGCACTGCGCAGCTTTCTGAGTGCCTTTTAAAAGGAGATAGAAAACTCCGCCATTTTGAACCCTTATTACGTGTTGCCTACATCTTGGCGCAATATTTTTAATAGGTGCGTTTTAATCATCCGCTTCTGCTTCGGAATTTTCAGTTTTCTTGTTTTAATCTGACAGGTTAAAACGACTAAACCGACAATTGATGATTTTTTCATAATGGTTAATTGTGGAACGTGTCTTTCAGCGATCAGCAGAACGAGACCTAGCATTACTTGTGAAGGCTGCAAAAACTTGTTTCATGTTATCTGCATTACAAAAATCGACAACTTAATAGAAATATTGCAGAATGTACCGGGGCTGTCCTGGAAATGCTCAGATTGTATAAAGTCATGCATTGTAATAAATGAAGATCGTTTGCATAAAGTTATCGAAACTAAACTAGATACTGCTGTTTCTACAATAAACAATCATGTTACATCTATGAAATGTGACGTTGTAAAGGCTGCCACAAACGTGCCTACTTTTGAACAACGGAAGTATTCAGGTATATTGAAAGATAAGTCAAACCCAGCTATAATTATTCGTCCAAAAACTAATCAGGAAATATCAAAAACAAAGACTGATATTTTGCGACATATTGATCCAACAGCTGAAAATCTTCAATTGGCAAAGGTTAAGACTATTAAAGATGGAGGAATTCTTATCGGTTGCTGTAATCACTCTGATACTGAAAAAATTAGAAAACTGGTTCAAGAAAAAATGGCTGACTCCTATGATGTTAAAGAAATTGCTGGCGTGCATCCTCGACTACGAGTGGTAGGTATGGCAGAGAATTACCCAGAACATGAGCTTAGAAAACATCTTTTAAATGGTAACCCCGAAATATTTTCAGGTGAATTAGAATGTAAAATAATAAAAATATTTCCTACGAAAAAGAATCCTAAGATCTGGCAGTCAATTATCCAGGTTAATAAACTAGTTTATGAGCGGGCTCTCAAATCGGGAAATTTGTTCGTCGGTTATGATAGTTGTGCTGTTTATGACGGCATTGATATATTCCGCTGTTATAAGTGTAACGACTTTAACCATTCCTCTCATAACTGTAGCAAACCAATTTCTTGCCCGATTTGCGGGGGTGCCCATGAATTAAATCAGTGTAAATCCTCCATTAAAAAATGCTCTAATTGTATGAAACTAGCTAACAAAGATGTAGATATTAATCACGCTGTCTGGGAAAAAGATAAATGCGCCTCGTATGCAGAAACCTTAAAAAAATTTAAAAATGGTATGTTAATTTCTGAATAGCAATTGAAGGGAAATTTTCATATTCCCCTCGTAAATTCAAAGCCAGGTCTCGTTAAAGATACGAACACCTTATCAATTTTTTACCAAAATACTCGAGGTTTAAAGACAAAAACTAGCCAGATTCTAAATTCAGTAATTCAAAGCAACTATCGTGTTTTTGCGTTAACGGTGACCTGGCTTGACTCATCCATTAACAATTTAGAATTATTTCCGGATAATTTTAACATATACAGGATGGATCGTAATTTTGAACAGACTTCTTTAACGAGAGGTGGAGGTGTGCTTATTGGGGTACATGAAGACTTTGTTTCCGTAGAAATTAATCTATCTGATTTTAACTTTCCTCAGCTTAAATTGATTGATATCATAGTTGTTAAAATAATCTTTTTATATAAATATATTTATTTGTTAAATATTTACATACCACCTCAAACTCCACTAACTGAGTTTGAACAACTTTTTGAAGCCCTGGCATTGTTGCATATATTACATAATAATACAGTTCTCGTTGTAGGAGACTTTAATGTTAGCGACTATGCTAACTATCTGGATTCTGGTGCAACCAATAGGGAAATCACTACCCTTAATAATTTTTCACAAATTTTTGATCTTTCTCAAAATAATTTTGTATTTAATAACCTTAATAGACTCCTAGACCTGGTTTTTTTTAATAAAAAATGTCATGTGGAGAAATCACTGGATCCATTTGTAACCGAAGATCGACATCATCCTGCTTTGGATATTACTTGTATACTAGAGATAAAGGATAACTTCAAATGTAAATTGCAATCCTGTTTTCAGAACAGTTATAACTTCAAAAGAGCCAACTTTCCACAAATGTATGAACAAATATCTCTTATTGACTGGACCTTCTTGGAAGCGTTTGATAATTCAGAAGATGCATCCACATATTTCTATGGCAAGCTTTATAATGTTTTCGATCGTTGCTGTCCCAAATATACACTTAAATCCAAAAATAAATATCCTCCTTGGTACAATGGTAGCATTATTAAAGATTTACAGGCTAAAAGTAGAATTTGGCGCAAATACAAGCGTGAAAGCAATTTACAGGCCTTTGAAGATTTTAAACACCTTCGGGCGAAAATAAAGCATGATGTTGATGTTGCATACAAGAAATTTTTAGGCAAAACTGAGGAAGAAATACATAACAACCCAAACAGATTTTGGGCATTTATAAATAATAAACGAGGTAGTTCCAAAATATCACAAGTATTGAATTTTGAAGGTCAAATGCTGGAGGGGCCTTCTAATATTCTAAATGGTTTTGCAAATCTTTTTAAACAGTCCTATACTATTTCTTCCCCTTTTCAACCCAATTCTGGGACAAATAATAATCACTTTTTAAATATTACAAGCTTCAGTGAAGAGGAAGTATATGAGGCACTAAGATCACTTAAGCCAAAAAAGACCACCGGATCAGACGATATTCCAGCTTTTGTCCTAAAAGATTGTTCTTCTGTGCTTGCTCGTCCCCTCTCCATACTAATTAATATTTGTTTAAAATCGGCTACAATACCAGAGGTCTGGAAATCCTCAAAGGTCTGTCCCATTTTCAAGAAAGGAGATAGACAAGATATTTCAAATTATCGACCTATCTCTATTATATGCAACTTTGCAAAGGTTTTTGAAATCCTGTTAGAGCGAGTTATATATCGTCATGTAAGTTGTAATATAAGTATAAATCAACATGGATTCATGAAAAGTCGTTCAACAGTCACCAACCTCCTGACCGTTACCCAATATATTGCTGAATCTATTGATAACAGAGCCCAAACTGATGTTATTTACACAGACTTTTCTAAGGCCTTCGACAGACTTGATCATGGCATTCTGCTTAACAAACTTGTAGCTTTTGGATTATCTCCTTCTTTAATTTCACTATTTCAATCCTATCTATGGGATCGAAAGCAATATGTCCAGCTTAATGGTTTTAGGTCTGCTGAATATAGTGCTTCTTCTGGTGTTCCACAAGGGTCGAATCTAGGACCCCTCCTTTTTATTATGTTCATTAATGATATTGCAGATGTTATAAATGTAAATTTGCTTTTGTATGCTGATGATCTAAAACTATACTGCCTCGTAGAGAAGATAGGTGATTGCGAGAACCTTTCAGCAAACCTAACACGGATTGTTGAATGGTGTTGTCAAAATAACTTGTCACTAAACCCAGATAAATGTAAAGTTATGTCGTACAGTTTAAAAACGAATATCCTAATATTTAATTATTCAATAGAAAACGTTGCTCTTGAGCGACCGAAAACATTTACTGATCTTGGCGTCACGTTTGACACTGCACTATCATTTAATAAGCATATTGATAATGTTGTATCCTCCTCCTATCGAATGTACGGATTAATTGCACGTAGCAGTAGTGATTTCAAAGAAACCTCTACCTTAAAAACTCTATTTTATGCTTTTATAAGATCCAAGTTAGAATATGCTTCAGTTGTGTGGAGCCCCTTTTATCAGTATCATATAGATCGAATAGAAGCAATTCAAAGACGATTTTTAAAACTGCTAAGCCTGAAAACTGATGGCATTTATCCTCTAATAGGTACACCTCACTCTGAATTACTACAAAAGCATAACTTTTTCAGTCTCGATAGAAGGCGTGATTATTATAGTGTAGTAGTAACTTATAAAATTATTAAAAGTATT